ATAACTTTATATAAGAGATGATATCGCTTCTTGGATCAAGGTAGAAAGGTCATCAAAAGCAAAAAGACAACATTCATTGACAAACACGCTCTAAGTCTCACAAACTATCCGGAAAAGGTCACATTGTGTTTGAAAGATGCTTTAAAAGATGAGTTTTCATGTTTTACTAGTATTTTAGAGATAATGATAGAACTTAGAACTTAGTAGGACCTAAAATTAACCCCATTGGTGAGCCAAAGCTATCGCTCATGCCTACGAACTCAGCTCGCCAATTTCTTTACCCTTTCATTGTCCACATGTCAACCACTCAAGGAGGGAATTATATTAACTTTTATAAACTAAAAGTAAATTTGAAATAAATATATTTTATCTTTATTAAAAAATAAAATAAAATATACCAAAATACATAATTTATTTTTCTCTAAAATGATATTAATATTGATATATTTTTTATATACGGTTTTAGGAAACTGCAATAAAATCCCTACATATTGGTTTCATAATCAATTTAATCCCTATATATTTTTTTTATTCAATTAAGTTCCAAATACCGGTAATCGTATTCAATTTAACCCTTTGACCCGGTCAACAGGTTATTCAACTTTCAAAAATTACATTTTTGGCCCATATTTCAAAATTTATTACAAATTTGGTCCAAATTTTACATTTTTGGCCCAAATTTTAAATTTTGTTACAAATTTGGTCCAAACTTTACCTTTTTTGCCCAAGTTTTAGAATTTTATCATGAATTCATCGTAACTTTAGTTTTTTTACAACTTTTTTTCTCAAAGAATTGTTTCTAATATGTTTTTTATTTATAAAATCATATTTATACAAAAAAAACGTATTTTCACTTAAAAATCTTATATTTTCTATATAAAAACATTTTTTTAAAATTTTTTTGATATGAAATATCTAGTTATAAAATAAATATTTATTTAGTATATAAATATATACAAATCAGTTTTTATAAAAAATGTATACAAAAATGTATTTTACAAAATAATAAAAAAAAAAAAAAAAACATGTGCAAACACCTATTTTATCTATATATCTTTTATAAAATCTTGTTTGTTTACATTTTTTTTTATAAAATTTTTGAATAATTTTTTATATAATACGTGTTTGTATACATTTTATAAAATGTATACAAACACAGTTTTATAAAATATATACAAACACGTATTATATAAAAAAATATTTAAACAAATTGTTATAAAATGTATACAAACACACATTATATAAAAATTTAGTCAAACACGTTTTTATAAAAAAAAATATAAACAAACACGATTTTATAAAAAAAATAGATACACACCTATTTGTGTGTGTGTGTATATATATATATATATATATATATATATATATATATATATATATATATATATATATATATATATAGATACACACACACACACACACAAAGGTGATAGGTGTTTGTATACATTTTTTTTTGTAAAATACGTTTTTGTATACATTTTTTATAAAAACGGTTTTGTATGTATTTATATACTTAATAAATATATATTTTTATAACTAGATACTTCATATACAAAAAAAAGTTTTTATATAGAAAATATAAGATTTTTATGTGAAAATACGTTTTTTTTAATAAATATGATTTTATAAAGAAAAAAATATTAGCAACAATTTTTTCAGAAAAAAAAGTTGTAAAAAAAACTAAAGTTAGGATGAATTCATAATAAAATTCTAAAGTTTGGGCAAAAAGGGTGAAGTTTGGACCAAATTTATAATAAAATTTAAAATTTGGGTCAAATTTGTAATAAATTTTGAAATCTTTGCCAAAAATGTAATTTTTGAAAGTTGGATGACCTGTTGAGTGTGTCAAAGGGTTAAATCGAATACAATTACCGGTATTTGGGACTTAATTGAATAAAAATTAAATATAGGGACTAAATCGATTATGAGACCAATATGTAAAGACTTTATTTTCCCTATAGTTGGTTTGATTGGATTGCTTATGAGTAATACAATTTTTTTATAATTGGGTTGTGTATTTTAACGAGGGAGATAATATTTTTTTAATAGATAATTAAGTATATCAAAAACTAAGGGAAGACAGGAGAACAATGATTCACTAGAGAATCAAGAGTTTTGTCCACAGACGAGCCATAGTCTTATCCAAAAGCCTAGCTTGAGAACTAAAAAAATCCTCACAGTATAACTTAATTGTAGGTGAAATGGCTTAAAACTAAGTATAGGGTCTAACGTGTGAATGAGGCTATAGTGCAAGGGGCCATTTGTGTAAATAGGACTTTTGTGTTCAGTTGTGAGTGATCGTAAAGTAGGTTTTAAGTTCTAAGTTCTTACTTTTGGTTTTTCTATCTGTATCTCATATATCACAAGAAATCATTAAAATCTGATAATTTGTATATGACTTCATTAAAGAGGGTATAAATACATAAGGCTACATGGGCCAAATACATACAATGGGCTAAACAATACAAGCTTAAATACAATAAAGTATATCGTCTAACATCCTCTCGCAGTTGGATCGGGAGGGAAATTCCGAACGCTCAAACTGGTTTTGAAATCGTTAAAGAACGCAGTCAGAAGGCCTTTGGTGAAGATGTCGGCATATTGAGCGGAAGAAGGTACGTAAAAAACTCAAACTGCACCACGAGCAACTAGATTACGAACAAAATGAATATCAATCTCGATGTGTTTCATGTGTTGATGTTGTACTGGATTTGACGTCATGTAAACCGAACTAACATTATCACAATAAACAATAGTAGCTTTGGTAGGACACCGAAGCTCTCGAAGTAAATTACGAACCCAACATGTCTCTGCAACAACGTTAGCAACGACACGATACTCTATCTCTGCACTAGACCTAGAAATGACCCCTTGCCGTTTAGACGATCATGAGATGGGATTATCGCCAAGAAAAACACAGTAGCCTGAAGTGGATCGCCGCGACACGAGGCACCCAGTCGACGTCTGAGTAAGCACGAAGATTAGACGTCGGAGAAACATGAAGTTGCAGACTGTGGTCCAAAGGTACCTCTGATATTGCGTAGAATACGCTTGAGAGCATGTGACGCTCTCGTGGGTCATGCATGAAGAGGCAGATCTGTTGAACAGCGAAGGCAATGTCCGACCGACTAAAAGTGAGGTACTGAAGAGAACCAGCCAGATTGTGAAATAGAGACGGGTCAACAACTGGAGGACTTGTAGCATCCAACTTATGTGTGGTTTAAGCTGGTGTACGTGCAGGATTACAATGACTCATATGGGCCCTGTCAAGAATCTCAGATGCATATTTCTGTTGTGAGAGAAAAAGTCCATGATCGTGACAGAAATATCGAGAAAATAGTTGAGAGCACCAAGATCAGTCATGGCAAATTCGCGTTTGAGGTGAGATATGATGGACTCAAGCAGAGATGTAGATGAAGCAGTCAAGACAATGCCATCAACATATAGTAATAAATAGGTTGTATCGGTTCCATGATGGTAAATAAACAGGGAGGTATCCGTGAGACTATAGTGAAAACCCATTCGATGAGCCTGTTGAGTGAATCGTTGATACCAGGCTCACAGGGCCTGTTTAAGACCGTATAATGAGCGCTGAAGATGACATACATAATCCGGATACTGAGGGTCCCGAAATCCCCATGGCTGATGCATGTAAACGGTCTCGTGAAGATGGCCGTGAAGAAATGCATTCTTCACATCAAGCTGATGAATAGCCCAATGCATGGAAATAGCCAAACTGAGAACAGTACGGATAGTAGCCGGTTTGACAACCGGGCTAAAAGTCTTATCACAGTCGACTCCCTGTTGACTGCGACCGTTTGCTACTAATCGCGCTTTATAGTGAGATAAAGAACCATCAACATTAAACTTCTGTTTGAATAGCCACATAGAGCGAACCACATTGACCCCTGGCGGACGTGGTACAAGGACCCAAGTACCGTTTGTAATAAGAGTATTGTATTCCTCGTTCATTGATTTAAGCCAATTTGGATCTTTCAAAGCCTGTATATGTGACAGAGGGACAAATGAGAGAGATGATGAATGAAGATTAAGGCGATCAATAGGTTTCACAATGCCACTTCTAGATCTGGTGTGCATGAGATGGATCGGAGGAGGTGGGAAATTAGGTCCATCATCAGACAGATGAGGAGAATAAGGGGTGTTAATGGTAGAAGTGGTGGTGGGTCGAATAATTGGAATAGGAGGGGCGTTTAAGATTTGACGAAGGTTAAGAGTAATATCGGAGTCAGATAAAAAATCATAGGAAGGAGGTTCGGTGGGGGTAACCGAGCCATACGGAAAAATGGACTCGTCGAATGTGACACGACGAGAGAGAATGATCTTTCTAGAGGATAGATCCAAATAGCGAAAACCACGATGAAGAGTGGGGTAGCCAAGGAAAATACAAGGAGTGGAGCGGGATTGGAGTTTATGAGTGGTGTGAAGACGAGGGAAACACAAGCAACCGAACACATGTAAGTGGTCATAAGTGGGATGGCGCTGAAAAAGGCGGTAATGAGGAGTGTCATTAGAAATAGAGACAGAAGGGAGAATGTTGAGTAAGTGGGTTGCCATATGGAGGGCCTCGGGCCAAAAAGGAGGAGGAAGATGAGAATGAAAGAGAAGGGTTCGCATCATGTTATTGATTGTGCGAATCATACGTTCTGATCGACCATTTTGTTGAGAGGTGCGAGGACATGAAAAACGAAAGATGATGCCATGAGAGGCGAGGTGCTAAACAAATTTGGGAGCGATGTGGGTTGATCATTACCAAGCCAGGCCCATGGTGGCTAATTTGGGCTAGCATGTTGGATGTGGGCTTGAGTTGTTAAGGGCCTGCTGCTGAGAAGACCTGGGCCGCTGGAAGTGGGCCGACTGTTATGTTGGTTCGGGAAATAAGTTGGGTGAGAAATCTGTGGAGTAAAGGCCCAATTTTGCTGCTGGGTCGGACCAGATGGGGTCCATATTGACGGAAAGGGATGGGGCGCAGGAGAATAAACCTACCCAGGTGATGTATGGCGTGATTGCTGACCAGAGGGGGTTTGACCGGGAAAATGCTGCTGGCAATGTTGGTTGTTGCGACCTCCACTGCGACGGGAATTGTTTCCCCGGTAGGATCTGCCCCCTCTTCCACGGGTCGACGACGAAGAAGATTCGGCAACATGGAGCAGAGAAGGGGAAGAGGGGTGATTGTCGTGCGTTAGGAGAGTGACGCGGTGGCTGTTTAATCTCGATTCTTCAACCAGGAGGATAGATCGCATCTCAGAAAACGAGGGAAGAGGTTTGGAGAAGCGGAGGATGCTGGCAACACTTTCAAACTTGCTTGGAAGTCCATTTAATGCATGAAGTACAACACTACGATCCTTGACTTTTTCAACGAGACCCTCAAGCGTATCAGTAATCTTCTTTATCTTTTCACAATAATCCTTGACTTCTAGTTGCATAGACACCGACTCTTTATCATCATAAAAGACGGATTGTAGGTTCAACCAGATTCTGCGGGCAGTGGCATTGATGGAGTAGGCAGAGGTAATAAGTTTTTGTGAGATAGAACCGAAGAGCCATAGTTTAACAAGATTGTCGAAACAAGTTCCTTCCACTCCTGGTCCGTAGGAGGTGTATTGGGGGGGGGGGGGGGGGGGGTCGTGTGCATCATCAATATGGTCAGCAACCCCATAAGCAATGCAGTGTGCATTGAAAAGGTCACTCCAGAGGTCGTAATTGCGGGTAGAGAGATCGAGGATGAGTGGGAGACATAAGTTTTGATGTTGGTGATGCCGTATGCCTTGTGGGTAGGTTTTGTAGAGGAGCTGACGTCGCATGTCATGGAGAGGAAGAAGGAAGCAGCAGCAAACACGGGAAGAAGAGGAGAAAGTCGAGAGAAGGGGAGATTGATATAGGAGCAGGATGGGCTAGGGTTAGAGGTGAGGCCTGATACCATGATTTTTCTTTTGCGAAACATCTTGTTTTACTCTTCAATGGAACAGTTCTCCGTTGCATTGCATATACCTTTATACGTTGGTATTACTACCATTGATTGTAATGCAAGATAGATAAATTGAGAAGCAAATCAAAAGAACAGAAAAACTTGTAATAATTAAAAGTAAATAATTTATCTTTCTCAAAGACTGAGAGAAGAATATATCTATCTTGGGGACGGGGATGACTCACTCTCGCCCCTCTTCAGAACAGAGCATAATACCTGCCTTGAAATATAAGTATCAAGTTCCCTAGACACATCTGTTAACTTAAGATCGAAATTACTCTTATACTTTTGGTTTGGTGATGGAGAAATAGATACCCGTCTTCTTGGGCTTGAGAACCTCCCAGGCGATCCAGGTGTTACAACAAGCGGAAGAGGAGTCATCAACAGTCCGTTTTTGGTCTCCAGTGGTAATGGTAATGGCTTAATTATGGAATCATCCTTTTGTCTCGTGAACCTTTCCCTAGCCTTTGCAGCAGCTGCTACAGCTTTCTCCCTGCTCATATTGATAAGCTTCCATGGATTAATACTTGCACGAAATCCACCCTCCTGCTTCTGCTTCTTTGTTGTCTGGGTAGGTTCTCTATCGATTCTTACAGAAAGTCTGTGCTGGGTCTGAAAAAAATAAAAAATTCAACAAATTGTGTCTCACACACCCAAGACAAATTAAACAAATTGTGCCCCAATAAGTACCTCCTCCGGTGTTCTCTCTCTACACATACACATGGCGAATTTTGTTTTTTTAGGGGAATCAAAGTCTACACTCTCTTCAGAAGACAAATCCGAATCATCAGACAGCTCTAGTTCCGCCAACTCATTTTCTTCTTTCAATGCCATTATGTAATCATAAGTTCGCATTCCCTATAGTTTTAGTTTGATCATCAGACGTGAATCATTATTAAATAGAAAATTAACAATCATATCATCGGATTTAATACCTTTCGGATAAGAACAACATGAAAGAAGAAAAGTTGTCCTAGAGCTGCTGAACCGTAAGCTGTGAGTAGAACCAGGAAAACCTGTCACATTGATATGATAAATACTAATAATCAGTGTGTAATGTATGATTGATAATTGATAAACAAACAGAGAGCAGAGAGGTTTTATGAGTTTGAAACTAAAAACAACTTACGCAGATGGCTGAAAGAAGTGGTCTTGGAAAATGAACATGGAGCCTTCTTTGAAGCTCCATGTCTAGTCCTTTTCCATCCATAAAGCACCTAATAAAAACCACAACTGCGGTCCCTCCTTCTATCATAAGCTGGAAGGATTATCAAAACTTTGTGGTCAAACAAACACATGACATGAGGAGATATTAATGAAAAATAGCACCTCACTTACCATTAACAAGACAAAGATGAGGAGAAGAATGAAGGTTCTGTAGTTTTTTTTCCCAACACAATTGTTTAACCACTGGAACCACAAATCATTATTTCTTACTTTCAGATTTTTATGAAATAATGAAAGAAACAAAACAAGATATTCAAATCTTAGTTACCCTGCAGTGGTGATCAAACCCATCAACACAGCGATTGCAGGTCCTGCAGTGCTTGCTCTGCTTTTTAACCTATAAAAAAAGAAGGTCGAATAGTATTAATTAATATTATAAAAAGAATGTTAGAAAATAGGGGTAGGAAACACAGAATCTAAATTGCTTCATAGATCATGCAGGTTGATTTTCCGTGTTGATATATCTGGCCTTATATACAATTAATTATACACCCGGCATCAGCCAACTTCATAGTTTAAATCCCCATTTTAACTCCATTTATGTAAATTAAATTACGGACCTGAGAATCACATAGAACGCAAAATGAGATGTCTGCTAGTAGTGGGTCAGGTGAAACTGAATCATCCTTAATGACAAGAGGGAATGGAAGCAGAGGCTCCATCTGAGCTGTTGTACTCAAAGGATCCAGGTACTTGCGCCTTATAAATTTCTGAAGGATCTTGCGCTCAATTCTAGTGAAAAATCTCATAACTATGTGACCCAGTATAAAACCATAATTGAGCTGCGAAACTGCATTGGACATGCTCTTCTTCTTCTTCCTTTTAAAGTTAGTTTTATCAGTCGGATCAATTGCAGTGCACCTGACAAATAAAAGCATAACTGCAAGTGCCTGAAGAAAATCAAAAGATCAGAGGAATAAAATGATGAGCAATTAATTAATTTTCACCGATTGTTTGCTACCTACCGTAAAAGTAAAGATTGACGTGACGACAATCACAGTGGTCCGGGTACCAAGGAAAAGCCCAAGGAAGGTATAGAAGGCTACAACCAAGAAACCGTATATTGACATTCCAACTATCTGTAAACACACACATAAGGATTAAGGAATGAGTTGAAGGAACAAATCAACTCCCCTATTAATCTTAACCAGGTGAAGTTTTTGAAAAGAACGCAAATAAACAAGTCGGCAGCAGCAACTGTAAAACCCAAAAAGGAAGTAACCTGTAGAGGGTGAAGGGGCCGTTGCCAGCCATGGCGCCTCATAATTTAGGAGCAACAAAAGATGAGATATTTCAGCTGAAGAATCCTCCTCAGACAACGTCGAGTGAGTAAACCCTAGAAGGCGTCTCCGTTAGCCTAGATTTAGTTTGAAACCACTGAAATCTACTCCATTGACTTCAACGGTCGACTAACTCCATTTGTATTTTGAATTTTGAGTGAAAACCAAATTGGGATTCTATGATGCGGCTCCGGGCCCTTCTACTTTTCAAGTAATAAAATAAGAGAAATTAAATTGCCTCCTATTATTATTCCTACCCATTAAAATTATAACAAATCATTATTTAATTTAATTGTATTTGATATATTCCTAATATAGTTTTAATAATTTAGTTTAAAAAATATAGAAATATAACACTTGTCATAATTTTATTGGGTATGTATATTTGTAAGCATAAAAAATAGGAATCAATTTAATTTCTCATAAAATAAACCCTCAAATATTGAAAAATAATTATTTTAATTTTATTAATATAGTCAATTAATTTAAACAAAATTACAGAAATGGTCACAGTGGTATGTTGAAATAGGCACATAAAATCCAACTTTAAGAAAATGGACAAACTTGGTCCTTGTGTTATTTCGATATTACAAAATTGGTCCTTCCGTCAAACGATGTCAATCACTTATAATTTATGTCCATCATGTGCATAGCATGTGAGGGTAAAATGGTCATTTTACGTTGCTCGTTCATTTGGTCTTACTTAAAGGTTTAGCCCTATCGATCTCTTTCTTTCATCTCTTTTTTTTTTCTTTTCCAATTCTCTCTTTCTTCTCCAACCTGTTACACACACGTCAAAGATGATTGTTTGCTTTTGTGGTTGAGGAGTTGTAATTATGACATTGTGGCCCGACGACAACCCAGGTCGAAGTTTTTGGCATGCTCGAAATATAGATCGAAGTGTCCATTCATTCGATGGATCGATCCACCAATGTGCCATAGATCCATGCAACTATTTCCCAACTTGTTGAGTGGAAGAAATAGGCTTGAAGAAGCTCTTCAACATGCTAGAATGTTTAAGTTTTATGCATATTTACTTGGGTTTTAATTTTTTTTATTTGGTTGAAGATGTGAACTTTGTAGTAGGTGGTGTTATGATCCTAGTTTACGGGTTGTAATTGTTTTTGTTTCTTATTGTTGTATTGAAAATTTGGTTGTGCAATGGTGTATTTGTATTTATTTGAAATGTGTTTGTTGTTTGTGCAATAGTGTAATTGTATTTTGTTTGCAAGAATATATTGGTTCGTTTACTAGTAATTTAGTAAGCAAAAGATCCAATATTGACCGTTTAATGATCATTACATATATAACCAAAATGAATGGGTAACTTTGTTAGCATAATAGGCACATACATTACTATGGTATGAAACCATATATAAAAGTTACACATAATTGTCGTAAGCATATCCATGGTGTTGATTGTTTAAAAATCACTACAAAAGATTCCATATATGTGTTTCCACACCACAAAGCAAACCAAGATAAAGCAAACCAACAAGAAGAAACAATGTCTTACATCCTTAAACATAAACAAAAGTTCATATGCCAACATATACGTGACATCCCCAAAATCTCGGCCAGAAAAGATTGGTTTTATTTATGTTTTTTAAACATTTTCATAGTAAATCATTTTGATTTTAAAAGAGATGCTTAATTTGTTCCCAAAAACAAAACATAATAAAATAGATTTTTATCAAAACATTTCATGAAGAAATATAATTTCATTTCATAATAAAAAACCGGGATGTCATGTTCCGATACAGACCATAAAGCATAAACGATAACATTACAAGTCATTCGACAAATCTATACATATACAGACTTGTAAACAAAACAACCTGATGTTTCATCCATCTTATCTCTCACGCCACTTCCTGTAATACAAAGAAACTGAATGGGTCGGGCTTGGGAGTAGGATGAGCATATAAGGTTTTCAACCCACAATAAATAATTATATTAATTTCATCAACCAACAAAAACCCAATTACTCATTCCCGTTATCCTCACTTTACTTCCTTAAACACTTTTCTCAAGGGACCTAATCTAAGAATATTTCATCGGGCGACAACACATGCTTCGGGGGTTTCCCAGCAATATATGCCAAATAAGGAAACCATTGGGGGGGGGGGGGGGGGGATGGAGTACATCGAATGAACACCCAAGTTCATTACCACCTACAGGTGGCGAGCCTGCTAGTGTTCCACAGGACTGTCTAGAAAAGTCTGTGGTCGTCATCTAAACTCCGCTAGATGACTGAATAAAAAACAACAACATCGAGGCCTCTCTTCATTTTAACACACATCAACTATCTACCCATGCTTTACCCAAAACTTTTGTAGATAAAAATACATATACGGTTTAAAATTTGTATAAAACATTTATTCAACACCTATTTCAAATAAACAAATAATGTATAAACACAAAACATGTATTTCAAAGCAAATACTTCATATTTGTATGTTAGAAGAAAGTAACCACACACTCACATGTATAAACAACAATATATATACACATAGCACGTATTTTATAAAATACTTCATATCTATATGTAAAATGAAAGTGACTATACACTCACATGATCAGAAGATGATCGGACAGCACTACAGCTTGTAAAAGTAGTATTCTTCGGTAGATCTGGAAGATCTTCACAAAAACCGGGCTCCTCGTGGGCAGGGCTTCGGCTCGGGAATAACGCTCATCGGGATCCTTGGGACTTCAGAACGTACTTCGGGGCTCGGGAATGATACCGGGGCTTCGGGATATAATTGGCATGCAAAACGATGCAAAACTTAGAGAGAAAGGAAGAAAAAAAGGCAAGGAAAATGGTTGATCTCGGGTTCTATTTATAGGCTGCTGGGTCTGGGGTTACACTGGGTGTAATTTCCAAATACGCTGGGCGTAATCTTGGTTACGCTAGGCGTACACTTCGGATAAGCTTTGTTATGCGAAATTCATAACTTTCGCATACGAGCTTTGTTTTTAACGTTCTTTATATCCACGTGTAGGTGAGATTATGCTCTACAACTTTCATTTAGACTCCGTTGGCTAATTTTGACTTTATTTTTAATATATTATCTTTGGTATGCTGGGACGGGAACACTCTGTTATAAACTCATAACTTCTTCATCCGGCGTCCGTTTTCGTCCCTCTTTCTGTCATTGCACTACTATCGACGAGATCTTTGATTCTCGCTTAGAAAGTCTCGGCTAAAACTCGTTCAATCTCAATTCGAACTTTTGGGCTGTCTACTGCTAAGTTGAAACTTCGAAAAATCATAACTTTCTCATACGAAGTCAGATTTGGGCGTTCTTTTTATGCACGCTCTCAATTTAATGTATTCTACGACTTTGGTTTAGATCACTAAGGCTAAATATCACTGCTTCATAAATTCACTATTTACGTCACGCTGTGCCACACCGGTTTTGTCGCGAAACTTCGACATGTCATAACTTCTTCGGTATAACTCGGATTTCAACATTCTTTATATTTTCGGAAACCTCGTCTCAACCACTACATCTTCGTGTAAAGATATCAGGCTTATCTCGCACTTAAATTTTGACGCTTATTTTATTCTTAATTCATTAAATTATAATAATTAAGAGAATAAACACATAATTCACATAATACTCAAATATTTCATCATTAATACTTCAAAAAAAAGTTACAAGGGTTATCCTAGACTATTACATCAACAATAATGCCTAGCCTGGAAACACGGGCATTACAATTCTCTCCCCCTTAGGATGATTCCATCCCCGGAATCACACATCAACAAACAAATGCGGATAGCGACTCAACACGTCACTCTCCGTTTCCCAAGTGAGATTTGGCCCATTCTTATGTTTCCATCGGACAAGCACTAACTCGACCATCTTGTGTCGTAACTTCTTAGTCTTTCGGTCAACGATTGCCTCTGGTTCTTTAATTAACCTCTTGTTTTCATCAATTCTTATCTCCGAAAGTGGAATCATATCGGGAACCTCTCCCGTGAACTTTCTCAAATAACACACGTGAAATGTGCTATGAATCTCATTCAGCTCTTCTGGTAGTTCGAGCTTGTAAGCTTGGTTCCCTATTCTCTGAAGAACTTTAAATGGTCCAATAAATCGTAGACTTAACTTTCCCCTTTTACCAAACCTTATAAGTCCCTTCCATAGCGAGACTTTAAGTAAGACCGAATCCCCAACTCCAAAGGCTATCAATCGTCGTTTCTTGTCAGCATAGCTCTTTTGACGATCCTGAGCAGCTAACATTCTTTCCCAGATTATTTTAAGCTTTTCGGCGGTCTGATGGACTATCTCCGGTCCCATAAACTGCTTCTCCCCAGCCTCAAGCCAACAAGATAGCGTACGACACTTCTGTCAGTACAAAGCTTGATAAGGTGCCATCTTTATGCTCGAGTGGAAACTATTATTGTAGGAAAATTCTACCAATGGTAAATGTTCATCCCAGTTACCTTGGAATTCCAAGGTACATGCTCTTAGCATATCTTCAAGCATTTGTATCATTCGTTCACTTTAATCATCAGTCTGTGGATGGTAAGCTATGCTCAAACACAACTTGGTACCCATCTCCTCTTGTAGACTTTTCCAAAACCTTGAGGTGAAACGGCTATCACGATCCGACACAATCGTTAGCGGAACACCATGAAGCCTCACAATTTCCTTTATGTAAGAATTCACAAGCTTCTCCATAGACCATTTCTCGTTGGCTGCTATGAAATGCACACTCTTAGTGAATCGATCAACGACCACCCAAATCATGTTGTGACCATTCTTTGTCCTGGGCAGTTTAGTGACAAAATCCATCGTGATGTCCTCCTAATTGCCCATAGGCATAGGCAAAGGTTCTAAAATCCCATATGGTTTCTAATGTTGTACCTTAACCCTCGCACAAGTCACACATCGGCCACATACTTTGCAACATCAAGCTTCATCGTCGGCCACCAGTAGTAGGGTTTCAGGTCCCTATACGTCTTTGTGTTACCGGGATGAATGGAGTACATGGTTTTGTGAGCTTCTTCCATCAGAAGATCTCTTATTCCTCCTGACTTAGGTACCCAAACCCGATCTTGGAATACCTTCAGTCCATCACCGTTTGTACCGAACACCAACGTTTTACCCAAACGTTCCTCTTTTCGGTCATTCTTTTCAGAAGCTTCGCTTTAAGCTTTCTTTA